TTCACGATGTATACCTTGTCATATACAAATAAAATAAAGAAATGATGTTTACCTACTTTAAAAAAAAAAAAAAAAAACTATTTTTATTTCAAATACAAATTTAGAATTGAAAATATAAAACATATATTTGATTATATTAAAATAAAGAATTAAATAATTTATATTATGAATACTATAAACAATATTTTAGATCCAAGTTAAAATAACAAACCAATTAATTATATTTGATAAGTAATCAAGCTTTTATATAAACTTATTAATAAAATTTTATAATAATAAACATTATTAAAAAATTTTATACTTCTTTATAATCTGATTTGAAAACCAAGATATAATACAATCAATACATCTTTCAATACAAAAATCAAATGGGATCCAAACCTTTACTTTTCAAAAAAAAATATCATTAGCAAAAAAAACATCAAGTCAAGAAATATTTAATTTCAAATTCAATATAATACTACAAAAAGATCTTATAAATCTTTTATTTCTCATTATAATGAATTTATCAACAGCAACTATAATTCCTCTGTATGTTTAAAAAATTTAATTTCAAACATTAACAATTTTATTAATATTCCTAAGTAAGTATTTATAATTGCTTGATACTATTTTTGATATGTAATGATTTTAATATTCATTTTTCTTATTGCTCAGATAATTTTATACAGATAAACTAGCATTAGACTTATTAATCCTTTGAGTTGCATAAGAGATATTGTCACTTTCTTCATATATAAATTACAAACAATTTTACAACCAATCCACACCTCAGCATGAATTCGGGATAACACCTTACTATCAAAATATCCATTAGTCTCACTGTGCGAAGTATGCCTAAAATATACTACAGTATATACAGTATAAAACTTGATCGACAATACAATTTCAAATATCTGAATTCAAAATTAAGATTATCCGATCGGTTAGTTAAAAAATGCATCACCTTTTCAGGTAAGCAATACTTGATGGGAATTATTTAATTATGAAATGCTAAAAATGGGCGAATATTTTTTTTCTTGCAGATAACCTCGATACCGATTGCGTTCTAATATGAATTCGGGCGGAAACACCTTAGACGACGCGGGTAGGCAGTTTGTAATTTTTACATATAACGTAAATGCATTGACTTCATTTATTCTTTATTCGACGAAAGGCAAAACCGCCCTTTTGACGGTTCAGCTCGTGCTCGTCACAACGTTGGGCACCATTTCTTTTCTTCTTTTCTGCTTCCTTCGGACACGATGGAGTATTATGTTTGCTCCTCGTAGTCGTTTTGCAGAGTATGTCCCATGTTTATTTGGCATGTTTTTTTTGCGATGATTAACTAATTTTTTTCTTAAGGCTTGCTCCCGAACCTTTGCCAACTTCTTTTTTTGGCTGGATTATTCCTTTGTTCAAAATTCCAGAATCCACCGTGTTAGATCGCGT